GTATGTGTGTGTGTTTTTGTGAGAGAGAGAGAGAGAGAGTGAGAGAGAGCGAGCGAGATAGAGAGGGGGGATAGAGAGAGGCTGTCTATCCGACAATGTGTTGACAATGCGCGCGCGTGTGAGAAAGTGTATGCGTTGGAGAGACAGAGAGAGAGAGAGGGGGAAAGTGAGAGACGCTTTCTGCGCGTCAGTGTGTATACGACAGTGTGCGCATGTGTGTGAGTGAAAGAGAGATATATTTGGTGCAAGAGTATGTGTGTGTCTAATCACGTCTAAAGCATAAGTGAAAATCAGACGCATGCGCCAATCAAACGCTTACGCACACACAAGCGCACAATGAAACATTTTTCCTCCTTTTCACAGCTGTGCAATGTGTGCAGGTTGGCTGACCCAAACAACAAATCAACATACAATTAAAGGTTTAAAACTATAGATGTTAAAAAATATATATCACATGTCTATATCACTCACAAAACACAAGGGGCGGTGGGGAAGCCTTGTGGTTAAAGCGTTCGTTTGTCACGATGAAAGCCCGGGTTCGATTCCCGACATGGGTACAATGTGTGAAGCCCATTTCTGGGGTCCCCCGCCGTGATATTGCTGGAATATTGCTAAAAGCGGCATAAAACCATATTCAATCAATCACAAAACACAAAGCTTTTCCAGCACAAGGAAAGCCGGAATCAAGCCTGTAAAAGTGAGTGAGTGAGTGAGTTGGGTTTAACGCCGCCTTTAACAGTATTCCAGTTATATCGTGGCGTGTCAGCTTAATGTGGGAGGAAAGCCCGAAGTGATGCAGGTCTCAGACGTTTACCACTTCAGTGAAACCCACGAGCACGGCCACGGTGCTGACAAACCTAGAAACATAATCGGGGCGAACCGGGATTCGAACCCACAATCATAGGTTTCTGGCGCGCCCAAGGGACGCAACTCTGCACAGCGAATCGCAGCGCCTTAGACGACTGGGCCACCCGTGCCCCCCAAAACTATAAAAAGAGGGCTACATTCTAAAACGTTTCTGTGGCAAAGCATTGACGTCACAATAAATTCCGCCTCTTAGCATCATTGGCTGTGGTTGGGGGTTCAAATCAAATAAATGTTTAGGGTGATAAAAGGTTATTGTAGTGCGCAGATACAACATTTCTATTTGACTCAGCATACTGCTGGTTGGACCGCCTCTGTGGTCTAGTGGTAGAGCGTCCGCCCGGAGAGTGGAAGGTCCGGGGTACGATCCCCGGCCGCGTCACACCAAAAGACGTTACAAGATGGTACTTGTTGTTACCCTGTCTGGCGTTCAGTATTAAGGGGCTAAAACAAGGACTGGTCGGCTCGGAGTATACTGTGTCTGAGTGGGATATTCATGTTAAACTGCGGCATGGTATCTCAGTGGGCTAGCACTATAAATCGGCATCACTCCGGACTAGTACAAGCAGCCACACAAACACAAACACGTACATGCACGTCTCTATATAAGTGCAATAATCTTGGACGCGACGTTAAACCCCATTTCACCTCACCTCACCTCACCTCACCTCACCTCACCTCACCTCACCTCATGCTGGTTGGCCATTGAACAATAAAACACCCTTCGATTCCCAATACAAATCCTAAACTGAGAAAGATTTATGAAACCAATGCAGTACATTTCCACTGCTAATAGGCGAGAGTGTTTTAACTATTACATCTCTTGTAGTTTTTTAATCAGCTAGTGTCAGTCGATAAACTCCCCGGAATAGCTAAATAACGAGGGCGATTGGCTTGCTAACGTGAACACCAGATTGGAATGCACGGTAGGGAAGTAACCTGCTGCTGGCGATGATCCTTGCCCCATTGGCCCTGTAGTGAAGACTGTGGGGAAAGAAACACAAATCGGTTCTGACGGCAAATCGCGGTGTATTTCCAAAGCACCGTATCAATGTCATGTCATGTTCTAACGTTACCTCCCCTGGTTTGTCCGTTTCATGGAAGGCTCACAATTTGGTTTGCAGAGTTGCGTCCCTTCACCGTTCTTGGATCTGCTGATCGGTGTTTCGAATCCCTGATTATGACCCTTGGGTCTGTCAGCACATATCGGGTCCTAGGCACAATTTACTGGACAGAGTTGTGTCCCTTTGACGTTTGCTGGATCTGCTTGTCGTTGGTTCGAATCACCAATTGTGAGCTTTGGTCTGTCAGTTGTGCGTGTGAGTTTTCCAGTTTAGTTTTTGTCCGTGACCTGTGTCATTTGGGCTTTTATCTCAAATTGGTTAATGATCGAGTGAGTGAGTGAGTGAGTGTGGTTTTTCCACCTTTAGTAATATTCCAGCAACATCACGACGTTGGACATCAGAAATGCGCTTCACACATTGGGTCCATGTTGGGATAGAACAGGGCCTTCGCCGTGACGAGCAAACGCTTTAACCACTAGACTGCCCAATCGCCCCTCTCTCACATTAAGCTGACGCGTCTTGGTATAACATCTTATAGAGGCATGGGAGTTATGAAAGTCCAGTTTCCACCATTGCCGAACAAGGCCGAATTATGGAATTATGAATTATTATGGTTTGGCTGGACAAACGAGTCTGTGCATAGCCGAATCGAGTTGCGAAATCGACATCCATGGCGTGCAAATTTCGGTCGACTGTAGGATTTGCTGTTACAGTTCAACTTCGGGATCTCGAACAGTCAGAGAGAAGTCGTGAGCTGGAACACAGAATAAATCTCGTGATCTCGAACACAGTCAGAGAAAACTCGTTATGTCGAACAGTCAGAGCAAAGAAAAATCTTTATTTCGAACACAGTTTCGTGAAAACTCGTTATTTCGAACATAGTTACGGAGAAAATTCGTCATTGCGAACATGTTAACGAGGAAACCTCATTCTTTCGAACATTGTTACGAAGAAAATTCGTTATTTCGAACATTGTTACGAAGAAAATTCGTTAATTCGAACATTGTTACGAAGACAATTCGTTATTTCGAACGTGGTTACGGAGACAATGCGTTATACTGACAATGGGTTCAGAGAAAACCCGTTATCAGAATAGGTCCCCAGGACTACCGTAAAGCCACTTAAAAAGTGGATCGACTGGTCAAGATGTATAACCTGGCTTTACGTCATCGTTTGTGACGATATTAACCATGGTCTTCTTGGTACAGACTCGATTACGTACAAACCACAGAATTAAATGAAACGCATAAAAAGATTGCCACGTAACTCAAATTAACCCAAATACATAACAGGGCTCCAGAAAAGCTGTGTATTTGGGGGAAATGCGCAATATAAATCACCATTACCCAATTAGTGTTGTGAAAAAAATTAAAAAACACAGAAGTTTAACAACACTGCGTAATTACGCAATGTAGCCTTTTCAGCTCGTGTACATGCATTTCTTTACAGGTCTTCATTTACTGATCGAGTCCGCTACACTGTAGTGTGTTATGCATAAAAAGAGGCGCCACGTCTCGCTTATTGTTAATGAGACATGTGTCTCGCCTTGTTTGCAACGTGTTACACGCTTCGGGCAGCACTCGAAGAAAAACAAACTAGAAATCACCTGACACAGCATTTCATAGCCGTAAAAATACACAAGGGAGTAAAAATATATTAAACACCAAGGAAAACTAGGACTACTCAAAGTAGATGATAACTTGTGATTTCTCAAAACACGATGTGGAGCCCTGTATATGTTACAGTCAATGTGTAAAATGTGATTTACTGAGGCAGTTATTGAAATGCTTATTTCCTTCATTTTACAAATTGATAGAAAAATCTGTCCATTTATTGGACAAAAAATATCATGTAGTTCAAAAGGGTTTATAAACACCACAACAGGGTCATTACGCTAGGATTGAAAGGGTTTGGGTACAAAATAAATACGTTGACTTTCTTTGTCTTTTAATCCAATCATTTTCAGTCACTGGGTGATGAAATCAAATGTTACAATGGTTGGAATATTACAACTAACGTCATGGGGTATTGTGACGTGTTTGCGAAAAATGTGATACTGTATTCTAAAGGTAGGCCGGAATTCGTTATCACAATAAAATAAGGGGAAACAATTTACTTTCATTTTGTAAAATAACTGATATATCGTAGATGTAACAAATGTTATATTCGGGATAACACTTGGTTAGTAAAGTACAGATTCTTGTACTTTTGGGGGGGGGGGGGGGGGATTTACTTATCCCAAATATATCATTTGTTACGTTTGAACACTTTATAAATGGCATTGTATTTTCTTGTTGTAGCCGTTTTGTAAATTGCCTTAGTGAAACTTTCAGTCATTTTACACATTGCAATTGTATCATATAAACACAACCACACAGCGACGTGAACGCTAACTGCACGACCACGCCAACGGACGTAAGGACACGCCAGCGCACAACATTCTCAGCATTAGAGTAGCCTTCAGCAATTAGAGTGGTTCCCAACCATTTAGCAGCACATTCCCGCAACCCAATGCCTCTGACTGGCTCAACCTCGTTCACCCCTTCTCGGAATCCGAACAGTAGCGTTATTCAATAAGAGGTGTGTCGCCCAGTCGGCGGAGTGAGCGACCGGGCGGGAGCCACGTGTGGCGGATGTATATCTGGTTCTATTGTCTGGGGTCGGGGACACATGTTGAAACACACAGGGGCTGGCCTTCCACACAGGGACACAGTGCCCGGACAAGAACCCCAGGTGAGTTCAGTCACAGACAGTCGCGTGTCTGCACAGTGCCATCTTAATGTCATTGTCAGTACCATTAGTCTACAAACTGCAAGGTGGACAATACCTGTTACCAACTTTCAGTCAAATGGAAAAGTGATGATTTTGTTATTAATTATACGATGAGAACCTCATTTTCCATAGTTTACTATCGAGGTAGGATTTAGATAGTAGTAGTAGTAGCAGTAGTAGTAGTAGTAGTAGTAGTAGTAGTAGAAGTAGTAGTAGTAGTAGTATCATTATTATCATAGTAGTAATAGTTATTATGAAGTTTATATTTCTTTTCTATATGTGTCTTTGATGTTATTTCTTTCTCTATATGTCTTTGATGTTATTTCTTTCTCTTTATGTCTTTGATGTTATTTCTTTTTCCATATGTCATTGGTGTTATTTCTTTCTCTATATGTCATTGGTGTTATTTCTTTCTCTATATGTCATTGATGTTATTTCTTTCCCTATATGTCATTCATGTTATTTCTTTCTCTATGTGTCATTGATGTTATTTCTTTCTCTATGTGTCATTGGTGTTATTTCTTTCTCTATATGTCATTGGTGTTATTTCTTTCTCTATATGTCATTGATGTTATTTCTTTCTCTATGTGTCATTGATGTTATTTCTTTCTCTATGTGTCATTGATGTTATTTCTTTCTCTATGTGTCATTGATGTTGTTTCTTTCTCTATATGTCATTGATGTTAAAACAAGGACTGGTCGGCTCGGAGTCAGTATACTGTGTCTGAGTGGGGTATTTATGTTAAACTGCGGCATGGTATCCCAGTGGGCTAGCACTATAAATCGGCATCAGTCCGGACTAGTACAAGCAGCCACACACACACACACACACACACACACACACACACACACACACACGTGCATGCACGCTATGCTATATAAGTGCAATAATCTTGGACGCGACGTTAAAACCAATTTCACCTCACCTCACCTCACCTCACCTCACCTCACCTCTTTCTCTATATGTCATTCATGTTATTTCTTTTCTTTATATGTCATTAATGTTATATCTACAAAGACGTGTCACCAGTTGACAAATTGCAAGGTTGTAGCTGGATACTATATCATCAAACTGTATGTTTAATGAAGAAGTGATGATGACTAACATTATGATACGTTTATTGCTTGTTTTACGGTTCTTAATGCCATGTATACCTAGCTAGAAGCCGGGGGAATATTTTCCCGAACAGCGTCCACACTTCTCTGTTGTTTAACGGGTTAGGTACATCCCGCCGAGAATATACGCAGGGAGAACATTCTCGTGCGACGTCGAGTAAAACTCAGTCACGTGATAATTTGTTTTTGAATGGGTACAGGTAAATTTCAAAATATACTGTATATTAACGAATATTGAAGTGTTGATCTAATGACTAGCGTCTTTTTACCGTGTCTCTCATGACTGAGAAACGTTCTAAAACATCTACGTTGTTTTTTCACCAATTTATAAACAGAATAATCGAAGAAAATGGTTAATGCATATATCTTAAACATCTGGTTTTTATTACCCTGTCCAAAGAACAGTGCAAATGTATATCATTATCGATTTGCGAATTTTTTCCAATATTCTTGTGCTCGCCGATATTTTTTTTCTATAGAATATTAAACACTACCATCTCAGACCCGATGTCGCTAAACGAACAATTGTCTTATGCATGGCATAATAGACATGACCATACGGCGGTAAACAACAGTCTGATATATGTCAATGTTACCATACGATTGGAATTCAAGTCGCGTTCCTCGGCGCTGCATGTCCCGTCTAGGATCTATGCAAATTTAACCGACTTTCTGGTTATGAGGTTAAGAGCAAAAAACGAAACTAGCGTTAGGTGCATAATTGTTCTGACAGAGTTTAATGTGTTGCCTGATACACGCAACAGGTGGGAAAGCAGGCAGAAAGGTGAGACCCGTCTATGCTTAGTCTGAACGCTGGGTGAATGAGGGGGGCAGATAACAGACAGATAACATCCTTGATAACAGAGCGATAGATGAGGAATCTGTGCGTTCATCTGCATGTAGATGGATGAGATTGGCACTCTTTTCCCTTAAACCCTCCAAACCCCCTCAAAATGCACAACACACGCGTACAACCTGATGAAGTCACCTGATGGGACAACAGGCTCCCCTTACTGCTTTTGATCGAGTATGAGAAGATATTTTATTTCTAAATTACCCAATTCACGGCTGTGTTTCTTTCTTTTAAAGACACCTGTATAAATATACATGGAGGCCCGGCTCATTCATCTCTCGAGGGGAATGTATATGAGACATGTAAACGTTACTGGGTAATGAGTCTGGTGGCGGAAGCACGAACAGGTAGTATGCCGCATGGTGTTTAATTATAAATATGCATTTATTTGTTTTAGTATAAGTGTATAACCCTTTTCTAATGCTTGTGATCTGCTGATTTGTAGCTCTCTCTCCGTCTCTCTCTGTGTCTTTCTGTGTATCACACTCTCTCTCGATCTCTCACTCTCTCTCACACACACACACTTTCTCTCTCGTCCACTTTCTCTCACATACACTTTATCTCTCTCTTCTCTCTACATATATATCACACACACTTTCTTCCTCTCTCTTCTCACCCTCACAGACCCTCTATCTCTCTCTTCTCTCTACATATATATCACACACACTTTCTCCCTCTTTCTTCTCTCTATATATATCACACACTTTCTCCTCTCTCAGATACATGTTATCTCTCCCTCTCTCCCCCTCACACTCTCTCTCTCCCTCTCTCACCCCTCTCTTCTCTCTATACATATCACACACACTCTCTCCCTTTTTTTCCCCCACACACTTTCTTTCTCCTCTCTCGTCTCTCACACACTCTCTCTCTCTCTCTCTCTCTCTCTCTCTCTCTCTCTCTCTCTCTCTCTCTCTCTCTCACACACACACACACACACACACACACACACACACCCCACCCCTTCTCCAACTCTCGAAATATTTCTATCTCACCGTCAATCTCACCAATTCTCCCCCCACCCCACCACCCTTCTCCCAATATCACCCTCCACCCCCCTCCCCAGGCTCCAACCAATCCCACTATTCTGATCACCCTGCCCTACTCCACATTCACCCTATCCTCCGTCACTCGACAGCAGGGAGTGCAATCAGCACCTACCCCCTCCACCCCGCGTCCCCCACACGCATCTCTTTCTCACCCCCATGTCCTACATCCACATTATTATTCTCCGTTATACGACAGCCGGGCTTGCAATCAGTGTTTTATGAAATGCAGGTTTTGGCGCTGATGGCCTCTGCCGCTGTGAACACCGTCGGTCCAGCCAGAAAGCAGAACAAATCCCCCACCAACTCTGTGCGCGATGATAACAGATAGTAGAATCCCTGTAATAATGTTCCCTTCGGAGAATATAAATGTCAACTGAAGCAGCAAATCTTCGACGTAAAAACGTCTTCTGGCAGCCAGCGTTCCAGCGTTGAAACTTGTAACAGAGACTTTTTACGTCTATCAATACGACCCTTGAACTGTAGCCGCATTTCTACATTACGTCAGCCCTTGTGGTGGAAATTGTGCCTCATACGCTGCGGTTAATAATCTCGATGCAAGGACAACTGTACGAAGAAGATTTATAAAAGCTTCTTTAATTAGAAACCTACATATACCTCAGCTGTGGAATATCACCAAGATCACGTGGAATAAGTGTACTGCCTAACGCCGGGATACGTTCGGTGCACGTTAATGGAATATTTCCCCCATACAGACCACCGGCGTCATTCTCTCTGTGGTGATCATCTTCTCAACTTGTGAACTACGTCAACAACTGTGTGATCTATATTATGTAATAATGACGTCACTACGGGACATCATCCATGTGCTGATATCAGTGTTGTTGTTATTATTGGCGGTAGAGGGCGCCACAACCCGGAAGAAGACTAAAGACTCCGACGATGTATGGCTGTCTGATTTGGTAAGTTATTATTATTATTATCATTATAGGGCAACACTTATATAATCATTTATCGAGACAAGGTATATATATATATTGAGCATTTACATACTTTGAAACAGATACGGTTTCGACATATGGTTTCTATTGTTAATTAGTGAGTTCCGCTTCTTCCTGTAATGTGATGTGATGTTATTTTTTCTACTTCTGTTTCAAGGACCAATATTCCGGGACCAGTTATATTTTATCATTGATTGTTTGTGTTTTTGATTTTTTTTTATGTGTGAACGGCAGATACTAAGGAACGAAACTGAATAATTTTAGCCGCCTATGTACTCCTCAGTAGAGCTGGCCCGCTGGTCGACACGGGATTCGTTAGTATTGCTGGTGAACTGTTAGACACGGGACTCGTTAGTAGAGCTGGTCCGCTGGTCGACACGGGATTCGTTAGTAGAGCTGGCACGCTGGTCGACATGGTATTCGTTAGTAAAGCTGGTCGACACGGGACTTGTTAGTAGAGCTGGTCCACTGGTCGACACGGGATTCGTTAGTAGAGCTGGCCCGCTGGTCGACACGGGATTCGTTAGTAGAGCTGGCCCGCTGGTCGACACGGGATTCGTTAGTAGAGCTGGCCCGCTGGTCGACACGGGATTCGTTAGTAGTGCTGGTCCACTGGTCGACACGGGATTCGTTAGTAGAGCTGGCCCGCTGGTCGACACGGGATTCGTTAGTATTGCTGGTGAACTGTTAGACACGGGACTCGTTAGTAGAGCTGGCCCGCTGGTCGACACGGGATCCGTTAGTATTGCTGGTGAACTGTTAGACACGGGACTCGTTAGTAGAGCTGGCCCGCTGGTCGACACGGGATTCGTTAGTATTGCTGGTGAACTGTTAGACACGGGACTCGTTAGTAGAGCTGGCCCGCTGGTCGACACGGGATTCGTTAGTATTGCTGGTGAACTGTTAGACACGGGACTCGTTAGTTGAGCTGGTCCGCTGGTCGACACAGGATTCGTTAGTAGAGCTGGCCCGCTTGTCGACACGGGACTCGTTAGTAGAGCTGGCCCGCTGGTCGACACGGGATTCGTTAGTATTGCTGGTGAACTGTTAGACACGGGACTCGTTAGTTGAGCTGGTCCGCTGGTCGACACAGGATTCGTTAGTAGAGCTGGCCCGCTGGTCGACACGGGACTCGTTAGTAGAGCTGGTCCACAGGTCGACACAGGATTCGTTAGTATTGCTGGTGAACTGTTAGACACGGGATTCGTTAGTAGAGCTGGCCCGCTGGTCGACACGGGTTTCGTTAGTAGAGCTGGTCCGCTGGTCGACACGGGACTCGTTAGTAGAGCTGGCCCGCTGGTCGACACGGGATTCGTTAGTAGAGCTGGCACGCTGGTCGACATGGTATTCGTTAGTAGAGCTGGCCCGCTGGTCGACACGGGACTCGTTAGTAGAGCTGGCCCGCTGGTCGACACAGGATTCGTTAGTGGTACTGGCCCGCTTGGTCGATGCCTTGGTCCCAAATATGTCCCTTTTTTACCATTACCATGCTCATGGGGTTCGCCAACGTTAATGTCATTGACTTAACGTGCCTGTGTCACAAAAGCATATTCATAAGTGTTCGTAATGTATTAATATTGCAGTTACATATTACAATTCATGGCGGCTGTGTTGGCAGTAACGTAGCACAATTTAATTAAATGCAAGAAAACCCTTTCCATGATCACAAGAAATCTCAACTCAGTTGTACGATTCCGACTTTCACATGCATTTGTTTATGTATCACTATCCAATAGTGGTGAGCGTATGCTGCCACACCGGTGGTACACGTCACAAACACATGCAAGGCCAAGTCAATTTTTCACCTGAAAAATATACGGGAACAAATGGTACAAATAGGGGTTTGTATCGGACACTGATGTGTCAAATTTGGAAATAACTTCAACATGTCTACCATGAAACTCTTTGAAAGCTTTCCTAAGGCCTTTAATGTTGTAACCCTGATCAAACAACAAGTTCTACAACGCTTTTTGAAGTATTCACAGATGCCATTTTTCAGCCGCAAGCCTTTAATCAGACATGTTTATAATGCTTTTGTCAGCACTTTGTATCAGTCGAGTCATGCTGTAAATTTACACTGTAAACCGTGCATCGCTACCCCATGCATGGAGTCCATGTTGTCCCTTTCACAAGAAAAGGAAACCTCGGTCTCACTGGATGAAACCAAAAACTCGTTTGCAGTGTTAGACACAAAACGGCAGCTGTTCTGCGTCCAAATAATAATAGCTGGTCTCCGGGAGATCACGTCTTTAATGGCTGACCGTAGCCATGAGGAGAAACAAACAGCATTTGGTTTAAATCTGCTGAACGGCGGCAAGTGCTACAAAGCTAATGGTCTCTTCTTTGAAGTCTGAGGGTGCTGTATGTTTGAGCGAAGGAGGGGGTTGAGAGTAGATTTAAGAGGGGTCGGAGCGTTGAAGGGATCAGACAACCGGGGTCAACTTACTGAGCTACCGTTGATTTGTTTTCCGTCACAGTACTAATTATCTATCTCAAGCCACATATTTCAACGTCTCCGTGCAAACAGCCACGAGGAACACTCAGCGGTGTGCGTTGTAGGTAGATAAATTATATTACAGCCGTGTGTCTGGTACATGTAGCTTGTGTAGGTCAGCTTTGCTCGACTGCGTGTGTATCCTCAAGCCTCTCATTGATGTATTTGTGCTTGAACCGCAAAGGAGTGAGTGTGTATGGTTTTACGCCGCGTTTAGCAATATTCCAGCAATATCACGGCGAGAGACACCAGAAATGGGCTTCACAAATTGTACCCATGTCGGGAATCGAATCCGGGTCTGAAGAGCGACGAGCGAACGCTTTAACCATTAGGCTATCCCACCGCCCATGAACCACGAAGGGGTACTGGTGACCACGTGGTACTTGTGACCAAGTGGTATAAAGTTTCACCGTGCAGAGTTGCGTCCCCTGTGCATGTCTGGATCTGCTGATCGAGCGTTTGATCTGAGATGATCCTTGTTTTGTCAGAACCTTACAGTGCTCAAGGGTTTCACGAAAGAACTATACGACTATCACCGGCGTCTTCTAGGTCCGACAACCTCCGCAACTATAACGCCGTGATATACTTAGACGGGTACCAATTTTGGTACAAACACGCGAGATGCTGATCGTTCAAGGATCCTAAAATGAGATTCAACCCCTCCGCCACGATCCGTGCACGACTGCAGTTGTAACTCTACACCCGTGAAGATCCGGGGTAGAATAGGTCTTCAGCAACCCACGCTTGCCGTAAAAGGTGACTATGCTTGTCGTAAAAGGCGTCTAACGGAATCGGTTGGTCAGGCTCGCTGACTTGGCTGATGCATGTCATCGTATCCCAATTGCGTGGATCCATGCTCATGATGTCAACCACTGGATTGTGTGGTCCAGACTCGATTATTTACAGACCGCCATCATATAGCTGGAATGTTGCTGAGTGCGGCGTTAAACAACAAAGAAATTGTATACATAGTGAACTCGAGCGTCTTAAATCATTGGGCCACCTCTGCGACCACGTGACTGTGTAAACAATCTTGACAGCTGATATGCATGTCAAAGCTGTGTTTCTTTACGTGAACATAAGAGGTGAAAACGTTGCTGTGGAGTTTACCGATAGATGCAGGGAGTAACCACACATCACATATCATCAACTTTTTAAGACTGAGTTATGTAAACATGTTTATATTGCTTCAGACAATTTAACGCTCAGCAGATGCAAGGCGATTTAAGTCTTCTGCACCACTGACGTAAGCCATCAAAAGTTAACTAATTACTTTTTACCACATACTGTTAACGAGTAAGGTTATTTCTAAAATGCTCTGACCGCCTCCGTGGTCTAGTGGTAGAGCGTCCGCCCGGAGAGCGGAAGGTCCGGGGTTCGATCCCCGGCCGCGTCATACCGCGTCGTTAAAAGATGGTACTTGTTGTTACCCTGTCTGGCGCTCGGCATTAAGGGGCTAAAACAAGGACTGGTCGGCTCGGAGTCAGTATACTGTGTCTGAGTGGGGTATTCATGTTAAACTGCGGCAGTATATCTCAGTGAGCTAGCACTTTAAATCGGCATCAGTCCGGACTAGTACAAACAGCAACACAAACACACACACGTACATGCACGTCGCTATATAAGTGCAATAAACCCCATTTCACCTCACCTCACATCTAAAATGCTCTACTTACATACATCGACGAAGTTCCAGAGGTAGTGCAGATCGTACCGATTAGATAATGCAAATTCGAACCCAGTCAGCAATGATATAACATGATATATGTTCCTCCGCTATGGATGCGAATGTAGGAAAAAGACCCAACATCCGGGAAATCTCGACCCATTCGTTACCACTCGTTACTTTCCGTAACCTGCAAGAACAGACTCGTCGCCCTATCGATGAGTGTTGTGTGATAAAAATATGACCAATCAGAATGTGCTTATGATTATGGGTACATTGGTCATATATAGTATCCCGCCTTGATAGTTTTTTTCATAGGAAGAGTTTGTTTTTAAACATGCTAACGTTGCAGTCACAGTTGATTTGCCAAACTGAATTACAAGTGTAGTTGTTTTCTGTTCACAAAAAATCCATAGAAACGCACAAAGCAAAACCGGATGTGGTACAAGAAGTTGACTATGATTGTGGCTGTGCCCGTTTGCGCAAAGACGGAACCAAGTTCATAATATGTCCCTGAGAGGACACGTGTCTCGATGTCCCGGAATAACACTAGTATGGTCGAACTTGAAGCTATGTTTTTTTTTAAAATATTTAATGCTGTTCATCCGCGAAAAAGCTAGAAAAAAAGTTTGTGTACATATGTCACATGTAAATGCACGTGGTCAGAAGGAAAAAGTTGTAACAACACCCAAATGCTTCACTTTAGAGACCATCACCTTAGAGAGCTCAAAAATGATGAAACAGTTTTTTTATAGCTTCTTTGAGTGGCATTTAGAAGTTGGAATGGTAACTAAGACAAAA